ATTTTTTTTTAATAATTGACAATTTTATTGAATTTTTTCCTAGAAGCACAATAAAAAAATTATTTGATTTTTGAATTTTTTAAAAAATTTCTTAATTTATATAGCTTATTTATTAAATATTTATTGTTTAAATAATTTATATTTAATTTTATGCGTTTAAACCTTTGAATAACGGACACTGACAAGAGTATAAAAAATGACCGCCGTTTAGAAGTGGACGTTGTTGGGAGGTTTGAGTGTAATACTTTATTATTAAAATTTAAATATGAATTAAATGTTGTTTTAAATGATATTTATTTATTCATACGTGTAGTAGTAACTAATCTTATAATTCAATTTATGAAATTTAAATGAATGGAATCATCTTATCGCGTGTAGATCTAGCGGATTTATGATTATGATTCCTAAATTTAATAATACATTCGCACTGTCAATAAATGTGACTAATGATATGATTATCATCACTATTGACCCATATAGTTTTTTGATACATTAAAAATTATTTATAAATTTTTTAATGTCATCAATCAAATTTAAGTAAATTAGATCAGTTCGTTTGTTATCAACCAATCTAACAAGTAAGAAGAAAAATATATTCAATAAATTCCTTAAAAATTCATTGATATTCAGCATTCAACTTGCTTTATCTTTAAAATTTTATCGATTTTATAAGGAAATTTACTTTGTTACTGTTAAAAAAAAGAAATACAATTAAACCTCTGACGGGAGCATAAAAAAATGACCGTTCTTTGGAGGTTATTTTGTGTGCATTTTTGTTTTAAAAGCTTCTGAAAATGGCCGTGTTTAGAGGTGGCCGTTATTGAAGGTTCGACCGTAATTAATATTAATTTTAAATAATTTAATAGTGTATAGAGTGGAAACGTACGTTTAATTTTTGTTAAATTGCTACATTAATGAATGAAAAGTCCCCCCGACAGGTAACACGTGTAATTTTTTTTTGTTAGTTCATTTAAAGGAACAAAAGTTGAATGATTTTTTACAAATAGACGTTTCAATTTTTTGTGTTCGCTTAATTAAAATAATAATTGTCTTTATGAACAAACAGACATACAAACGCACACTTGATATTTGTTAAATTAATAAATGAAGAGTATTTTTTAATCTGTCTAAACTGTCAAACAGGTAGACAAATGTATAGGTTTTTTTTTTTTTCATTAACTGCTCAGTAAACGAACAAAAATTATGTATGTTTTTACAAACAGACATACATACGTATATTTATTTACTAAATTATTAAATTAAACCAATAAATATTACATTTATACGTCCTTAAAAAATCTGTAACAACAATTTGTTACTTTTTTTTCAAAATACAGACAGACAAACGTACTTTTTTCATTATTTTTTTATTTAAAATATAAACATTCTGTATATACAGTACATTTATTGTCTCTTGAACGGATATATGAAAGCAGGTTTGATTAAATCAAAAGTGTTTAAACGAACGAAAAACGCGTAAGTTTGTCTACCCGTTTAATAAATAATAATAATAATAATAAATGTTGTAGAAAACTTAATTTAATTTTTTTTTATTCTCGATTTTGTCAATAATAATTATTTGAGGTAGTCGTCCTTGAGTTAAAATATATTCTACTTGTAAATTGTTCAGGTAAATTAGCAGAGAATGTTTTAAATATCATTTAAATGCATTTAGATATATACATGTAATTCATGTCACGTATTAATAATGTTCTGCATCAAGGAATTTCTTTTTAAAAGATTTCTAAAATTACTCAAAAGTGTTCTTTCCTTCTTAATTATAAAATTAGAAACGTGATTATAATAATTATTTTTAATTCTTTGTTGAAAAAAAATTATATAATAATATTTTTAATATTTATTTTCTTTTTTTTTCATTATGAATTTAAATTTTAAAATTATTTTCTATTTTATAAACAGGTTGGTCTAAAAGTTCTAAATATATTTGTGAATACGAATAGTAATGTTTAAAGTAACAGAAATTTAATCTTTACAGTGGTTAACTGACTTTTGGACCACCCATATATATATAAATCCATTAACTTTTTTTTTTCCTTTTCAGATTTCTTCAGGCAAATATTTTAGTTGTAATTATTATTTTTTAAATGTTCCATTTTCGAGATTTGCCGAAACAATAATTTGGATTATAGGTAAGAGTAGGTAGGTCATTAACTTTTAAATACGTTATAGATACATTTCGACATTTTTATTTTATATATGTACATATATATTTCTTTTTATTCTGTTAAAAAATGGCACAGATAAATCTATTAAGTATAAATTATTATTTAATGAAGTAAAATTAGAAACATACACGTTTACTATACGGTACTGTATGTTATGTACATAATCCTCTTTTAAGCTTTTATTTTTTCTATTTATACAATTCAAATAAACTTTTAATAAGTGTAATACTTCTTAAAATATTTGATTTCTTTTTCTTGAGGGGTAGTTTTTTTTCTTTATTTTCTTACTACAGACATGCAAACGTACGCTTAATTTTTGTCAAGTTTACGAATGAAAAATGTGTATTTGAAATTATATCAGGATGTAATAAATTACGATATTATTTAATTTACAAAATTTATTTTATATAAAAATTTTTTATATGTTAAAATAAGATTTAATGAAGAAATTGAAGGAGTTATCCGCATTATTATTTAACCACAAAAAGGATTTATGCTTAAATTTAATAAAAATTAAATCGATTAAATTTTCAAATCTTTATTTAAACTTATGAAAGGCTAAGCCAATTATAAATCACTCAGTAAGAGTTTAAGGCTTTATATAAACTTAATAAAGTCTCAGTTATAAATTATTTAATAAAGATTGCCTTTAAATAAATCTAAAAAAGTCTCAGCAAAAACTAAGCTAATTATAAATTAATAAGTTGTAATATTGACGACTTTGTAAAGATTCCGAACATTTCCGTTGCAGAATTTGAAAAAGCACGTGATAAAAAATTCCTTTCACGCACAGAGTTTTGTACACTGATATTTTGTCTGACATGTGATCAAAAGGAATTAAATCTAATAGTTTCGACGTCACTTTCTGATGAGGAAATGCTGCAGGCATTCTCATGTCTCCCCAAGATAGTTGCGATGACAGCTATTCGGTGCTGCTCAAGAAACTGTAAAGTGGAAATAATTGATAATTTCCGTGCAAAATTATACTTGCAGATCAGCAAAGAAGAACAATAATAAGAAAGACTCCCATAACAAATTATTTAGTAGCTACGCGTCCGGTAATTTCAAGTTCGTTGGACTTCTTATATTCTCCTACAGCCTTTAAACGTATTGAAATGCGATGATTAGCATGAAAATTCAATCAAAAATTTGTATATTTTTTTATTTATTAATATAATTTTCTTTGATTAAAAGTTCAATTATCCATTCACACGATTTTTTAATATAGATCGACAAGCGTAGAGGGGTGAGGAGTTCCTTTATAGAGGGTCGAAATTAAATTGTTTCAACTTGATCTGTAACAATCTAAATCGCTTTAACGTCAGTATAACGTTACGTATCCATAGATAGTGGATGCAAATTAAAAAAGAAAAAAGAATGAGAAATGATGTCAGAAATTTGAATTTATATAAAAATTTTTTAAAGAGTTAGACCCGTTTTTCTCTTCTTTAATGGATAAAGTTAAAATCAAATGGTCATTAACTTTATAGACTCAAAGAGGAATGGCCAAAAAACAATGCTATGCGCGTATAAACCATATAGAGAAAGAGGTTAATTTAATGTTGTTATTGAAGTTAGATGCACTAAAATGTTTTCTAGACTTTAAAAAAATTTAGTGGCATCATTTGTAATTTTTATAATATTTTTAAATATATACAAAGTCTCATTAATATACTTACATTTTCCTTAAAATTTCGATTAATAACGTAAATAATTTTATAAAAAATTATTTTAAAAAATTTAATTTATATTTGATTTATTTTAAAATAATTTTAATTTTATTCTTAATTTTATTAAAAAAAAATTAATTTAAAAGACTCAATTAAAAATATAATCGAATTTTTCTAAAAATGCCCTCAGTATATTAAATTTAAATTTTTTTATATGAAAATATATCAATTGTATTTTTGTTTTCATTTATGAAGAAAAGTCAGAGAAAGAAATTTAATTGAAATTTTAAAGAATCGCTAAAACTCTCATTAACACAGTGCAATTATCACAGAAAATTTGATTAATTTCTATTTTAAAAAATCAATTTATATTTTAATTGTTTCAAAATAAATTTAAAATTTTCCTTAATTATATTAAAAATAATTTTATAAATTTATTTTAAAGGACGTATGAATTTTTTCTCCCCTCTAAAATATGCTAAATATAAGTAAAATACAATCAAACTTCTAAACAACGGCCATTGAGCGAACATAAAACATGGCTGTTGTTCAAAGATGGCCGTTGTTAAAAGGTTTTTCTTATGCAGTTTTGTGAAAAAAGTTTGAAAAGTGCCGTTATAAGAGGTTCGATTATACATGATTTTTATAAAATAAGAAATATAAATTGAATTTTTTATTTTTACTACTTTCTAAAATAAAAATTCGACTAAATAATTTAGTTTAATTTTAATTAAAACGACATATTACTTAAATATAATAACCTATATTGACTATATATAACAGAATGTTTATCTGTCTGTCCTTACATGATACACTTCTAAACTTTTGACCGATCACCACCAAATTTTTCAGAGTTACTCTCCAGGACCCTGTGAAAAAAATAGGCTACCACGAAACCTGGAAATCTCACCCCTTCCCAATTTCATTTACGTTTAATTGTTGAATCCTAGGTTAGTATAAAATATGCAATTTTTTTTTTAAATGGAAACTATGTAAATTGTATTTTTTTTTATTTTTATATTTAAAAAATAATAATAAAATTCAGGCGAAGTAATTTAGTTGAAATTTGATGGAAGCGGATGAAACAGGTTTTCGTGTATTGTGCAACTGAACTTAATCGTTAATCGGAGGCGTGATACAATAATCAAAAAGAAGTTATATATTTTTTTTATTCATATAAAAAGATAAAGAAGGAAATATTTATCTATCATCATTTCCGACTCTTATTAAAATTATTATTATTTTTTTTTATAGAATAATACTTATTATATTATTCTATTTTTCCTGTTAATTGTGTATAGAATATTAAAGCCTTATAAATTAACTTTTTTGTTATTATTTTATGCTTGAAATTATTTTGTAGATTAAAGAATAATTTATCAATTTATATATATATATTAAGTACAAGTCTATAGGATCTATATTTATATTTAATTTAATTTTTTTTAAATTTTAAATCAGTTTTTGTAACGTTTACATAATGCTTAATTTATATAAAGATTTTTTATGTATATTTTTTAAATTTATGTGCATTAAATGATTATTTTTAGTACTTTAATTATGTTAGGTATTTTACAATTTATTAAATTATGCAATGCTTAATGCAGTTTTATAGACCTAGCGCTTGAGTCTATGCAATTTACGCTTGTATAATGCTATTTTAGGCACTTCTAAGAGCATAATTAATTAAATAATAGTTAAATTTTTAATGAGAAATTATCACTAAATGTTTATTTTAAAGAAAGATATAAGGTTAATTAGTTTAATTATTAAATTTACTTTAAAAATTTATAACTTAAATATTAGTAAATAATTTAATGTTAAAGTATGATTTAATACTTTAGTGTAATTACTATATTTAGAAGTGTTCTCTTGTATAATTATAAGCCTTTAGATGTTGAAGATATAGATTTAATTTAAAGATATTACATTGTAACTTAATACTTTTGTCATCCATTTTCTTTTAAAAAAAATACTGTTTTATTATAGACGAACTATTGTAATTCATCCTGGGCACATGACAAATTTTCTCAAATTTCGTCTCTCCCCCTAACAGCATTCTCTCTCCTTGTATTTTTTTTTTTTTTTGATTTAATACTTTAGTGTAATTACTATATTTAGAAGTGTTCTCTTGTATAATTATAAGCCTTTAGATGTTGAAGATATAGATTTAATTTAAAGATATTACATTGTAACTTAATACTTTTGTCATCCATTTTCTTTTAAAAAAAATACTGTTTTATTATAGACGAACTATTGTAATTCATCCTGGGCACATGACAAATTTTCTCAAATTTCGTCTCTCCCCCTAACAGCATTCTCTCTCCTTGTATTTTTTTTTTTTTTTTGCAAGTAACCAAGCATATTTTTCCTATATAAGGTGCTTATTACTACAAACTAACTTAATTCTGGTATCACAATTGCACTAACAACCATTCTTCGAATAAGTAATGGGAAAATCGTTTCCATGCCAGGGGCTAATCGTGATTTGTGGTACGCGTGACCATCCGACTGGAACAATGTTATGGAGGATTACACACATTTGGCCCACCGCATCAAAAACCAGCTAAGGGGATATCAAATTTTACCAAACAAGTATTTATAAAAAGGACCCCATCGGGGGCAGCTGCCATTTCCGGTGGCGCCCTTTAATCACAACCCTGATCCCTCCCAATTTTCTAGATTAGCACGCTTTCTAAAATAATTTCCATTAACCCATATAGTGCGTGCGTATGTCTCTCTCTGTGTAATCGTGAGTGAATTTACGATGCGAAAAGTGATATTAGTATACGTTGCGCGCTCGTTTTTCTCCATTTATTTTCTTATAAATTTATTTTTTCCCCTTTCCCCTACTCCTTATGGATGTATAACTAAGTCATCATCGATACCTTAATCTTTATGTCTAGACATGTTAGCTAAGGTAATATATTAAAGTTGAATCTATTGATAGGGCATGAACGGCATAGAAATAAGTTATAAAGAGATGTGTTATCAGTACGAGAGGTATTTGCGCGACGTTCGCACGATAAAATTCTTTTGTTTTACTTGTTTATTTATTCTCTTTTAGTATTTTTTACTTTCATAATTATTGACTGGTTATCGTTCCATTCAATTGAATTTTTGTATTGATATCAATGGAATTTTTGGAGATCGTTGTAGGCATGTAAATGGGCTCTTCGTATCTCGAGCATGTAATTTAAATACTTTGCTAGAGAACAAGCATTTAGATCTATCATAAATTACATAATAATTACGTGGGATAATACATTTAGGAATTTACGGATTACGTAAAGTTTCTTTATTACATTTATTCAAGTTTCCGAATTTATATATCCGAATTAAAAATTTTAATAGTACACTCGAACCTCCAATAACGACCACCTGCCAACAACGGTCACCTCTAAAGGCAGCCATTTTTAAATGTTTCCGTTAATGGCAGTTGCGCAGAGGTTTGCTTGTATTTTTGAATTTTAAAAGAAATTTTGAAGCAGTTTTAATGCAAAACTTTGCCTCGAATGATTTTAATTTTGAAATACTTCTTGCAAAAGTTCATTTAAATTTAAGAATTCTTATACTGGAGATACGCATTCTTACATTTAAATTTCCTATTTTTTCTTCTTATTATTTTATCCTATATTTAAACTAGGCTACAACAACAATTGATAGGATTTTGCAGAAATTTATTTGATACGACTCTAATTAATAAATTAAATTATTTAATTTTATTAGTTTAGTGTTATTTAATGCAAATTCCATTTTAATACGATCGAATTTTCTACAATTGTCGAAGAATTACGATTTAAAATTTAATATAAGAAAATCTATTATTTTTTTTAAGGTTATGTTAATTGAAAACAATAGAAGAGAGAGAAGGGGGAAGGAGAGAAAAGTAATTACTCTCCGGAAATAAAATTGTTTTATTTAAATTTGTGTCAGTTACTTAACTGTTTTACTTTCCCCCTTTCTCTTTCACAATTAAATGCAATTTTGATAAGAATTAATCAACTTTATTCATTTTATTTTCATTTTCTTGTTAATGCCAAATGCTAAAAATTATCATAAATAAACAGGAATTTTTATTTACAGTATTTATTTAAATTTTAAAATATTAAATGAGAAACTAGAAAACTAAATTAAGAAATTTACGTATAATATTCATCATTATTCAGTTGGAATATAAGTAATTTGAATAGAATTCGCTCTATTAAATAGCTCTGTAGAATTTACTTGTTAAGCAGCAGTTTAGGAATTCCCTATAGAACTTTGTTAAGAGTGTTAAAGAGTGGTGTAAAATTCGTATAGATCGATTATTTAACTAACAGTACAGGAGTTTGCTGAATAACATTGCAGGAATTAGTATGGAATTCTAGAAAACTTTTTAAAACATGCTGTAAGAATTCCTATAGGATTCAGATCGTTAAGGAATTCCTCTGGGGCATATATTATTAAGCAGCACTGTAGGAATTCGTATAGAAGTTAGACTATTAAGCAGCAGCATAACAATTCGTATTGCAGGCAGGTTGTTGAGTAACAGTGCAGGAATTCATCTGTTAAGAGCAGTGTAAGAATTCGTATAGAATTCAGACTTGTTAACTTGCAATGTAGGAATGAATTCACATAAAAATTTAGAGTAATGGTCTAAGATTATGTTAATAATTCAAAAGTATGCTTAAGATAATAACTTCTATACGATTTTGCTGTTTTATAAATTGCATAAGCCTACAAATCTTTACACGTTATGCACTTATATATAAAATTTTGTAATTTGTAACAAGGTGAAAACAATTTTAAAGAACTTATTTAAATATAAATGCCAGAAAACTAAATGATTTAAGAGGATAAAATTTATGTTATTAATTCCAATAACCAGATTTATGCGTTAAAATCTTGATTGAACTCATTCTGTAGGCCTACTTATAACAATGAGGTAGCAATTAAAAGAAAATAAGAATATTATTAAGAATAAGGGGAAAAACTTTTTCGTGTAAAATGACGAAAAATTAGTTTTTGCCCTTCTTTTGGGTGTGGTTTATGCATGAAATTATCATTTTTATTTGATTGAACATACGAATTTATCCTTAAAGAAAAACTTGCGATTCTGCTTTTTAATCGGTGATGCGTTACACCTGATTAAGGATAACTAAATTATGTTTACGTAACATAATTCGTTACTCCTTTTAATGAAATATAGCTGATCGTATCTGAACTATTTTCAGATTTGTATATGTAATGAATATTTGATTATAACAGGTATACAGTATAAAGTTTATTCATCGATGCATAACTGTGAGAAGAGGCTATTCACCTGCGAATTATGGCGAATTTTTTATATATATATATATATATTAATTTTTTTCTATATATTTCGTGATTGTATCATTAACTTGTGTTATTTTAACGAATCGAGAGCATGAATAAGAAGTTAATCATGAATTTACCAAGTTAATATGCATATTATTAAATAAAAGTATTATCCTGTAAAGTATGTTTAGCTTAAAGGTGTTCTATGTTTCTTGGAAAAATGCTATTGTATGGGGATTTTTATGAAGATTAATGAATGGTTTATGCATGAAATAAAATTACATATCTTTCTGTTTATTGTGTCATTTAAATGTTTCATAAATGTAGCAATTATCATTGTTTAAAAAATGTCAAATGGGCAGTTTTATACAGGAAATAATTTAATGGGCCATAACTCTATTTTTTTACCAATTATATATAACTTTATTCAGCATAAATTAGCAGCGTAACTACTTAAAATATCCATTAATTTAACACGTCTATCCTGTCTTTATTCCTTAATATTAATTAATTTTCTTACGTTATATAAATCCAAACATTAATTTTAGAATTAAAATTATTAATTATAAACTTTTGAATGGGCTTATCATCAAGAAAGCCCTCCTTTAGTTCTATTTTTTAAATTAAATTTGCATTAAAAAGCAAAATG